AAGTTAGGAAAGTTAAAAAAAATTCTTTTTTTAAAGGGAGGACGTCAAAGTTAGAAAAATAAAAAATTTTTTATAAAGAGGAAATAGAAATAGAAAGAAGAAAATTTTTTTTAAAAAAAAGAAGAGTGGGAATAAAAAAATAAAATCAAAAAAAAAAATTTTTTTTTTAAGGGAGTGACGAAAAAAAATTTTTTTTTAAAGGAGTGATGAAAAAAAAAAAATTTTAGAAAAAAAAAAATTCTTTTTTAAAAGGGGGGTGACGAAAAAAGAAGAAAAATTTAGAAAAAATAACAAAAATAAGACAAGAGAAAAGAGAAGGAAGGGAAAGACAGAAAGGAAGATCGGAAAGATCGGAAGATCAAACTCATCAAAGTAAGGGTTTATATATAAAAAACAAAAAACGTATAACAAAACAATAAACAATCACGTGATCTCGTGTTATGATATGAGATTTTTGTAAAATTATTTTCTAAAAATATTAAGTAAAAAAAAAAAACTCTTTCCCCTTTTTTTTTTATTTTGTTAGTTTTCCGCAGTAATTTTGCAAAGTTTGTTTTTTTTTTAGTTTCTATTTGAAACACCAAAGGGGAGGAGGCCCAAGCGGGCGCCTCAGTTGCATATGAGGTTTTGTTCCTTTAATATTACTTATACTTAAAAGGTTATATCATCCTCTTCAAACCAAGTTGAGATAGATTTTTCTTCAGTTTCATACGCATCTCTGAGACCATATTTACAGTTGGACACACGTTCCGATAGCGGCATAAAAATCTCTGAAGGCGGACTTGCTGAAAATATAGTATTAGATATGGATATACAACCACAGGATAATATACTCTCAACCAATATAACCAACTTTCCTTCACTTTTTTCATTACCTTCGTTTTCCTCAACTTTCGAATTTTCGCTCAGTACCAAGAAAATCAACCCATACGAGGTTAGGAACACACGTGGATGTGGCACTTTGTATAACACCAAAAAAGGGAGATATTTCCTTATTGAGTTAGATGATACCCGATATGTAGATCTAAGAAAGAAAATTTTTTCAACGTCTACACCAATGATATCCAAATGCCCGATGATCATCATAGGATCTTCAATTTGAATTGTAAAAAACTCAATCTGAATTACCTTATAGGGACTTACCTGACCTTCGTTTTCACCTTAAATAAACAATTTTCACCTGCTATTGTAGATAGATATTTTAATCGTTTACGCCAATTATTAATAGATAAAATATTGGCAGTTAAAAATAGAACTACTTCCGTATTAGATAAAAATAGGCAAACAAAGACCTTTATTTGATTTTGTTCTGGGCCCCACGTGATTTACCTGGGATACTACTTCGCCTGTGGATTTGTAGGAAATAATAATCGTTGTTGTCAACAACCAGCTGCTGTCGTACTTTCGCACAATTGACGAAAATGTAATAATCATCTCCTGAGTTTCATAATACATGGTAATAAGGGACGTAGAACTGGCAAATTACCTCAAAACCCTAGTTTTTATGTCCATAATCGTAGTTATATCCCTCATAATCACGCAAAAGAAGTTCATTCAACATGATTAGGTATCTCATATGACGTTATTACACGTAGATATAATGAATGGAAAGGAAAACATGATTTTTATCTTAAAAATGTAATGGAACCAACATCTACAAAAACGAAGAAAGGTGTGGCCACCTCGTGCATGTACTACAAAGAATATCATAACTTTGCACCTGATGCTAACCGTACACAACAACAAATTAAATGGTGGAATCGTTTAAAATTTTCAATCTTTAAATCGGAGAGATCCCTCGGTCAAGTCAAACCTTTTTTAATTAATGAGCACTCGTATGTGTACAAAAAAATTCAACATGCAGTTGAACGAAGTTCACAACATATTAAATGCAATTGGGAAATTGAAAACGATAAAACCCTTCGCAAAAGGATCAAAAACTGGAAACGCCGTGTCAAAATGCGCAACAAGAAAAAGAAAAGTTTACCTACTTTACCAGATAACTTTACTGGGAATGCTTTATCCTTTTACTTTAACACATACAATATTAATCTCTTTGCTTATAAAGTGCGACGACGCTTTGATTTATCTGGTATCCCTGATTTCAAACATGGTTACCTTAAAGCGAAAAGACGTTATCTTAAATATCAAAATAGTTTACGCCCACGCTCACCTCCAATAGTTGAGGACAAGGTCATTGAAACTAATAACAATAATCAAGCCACTTTTTTTTCAGATAAACTTATTATGGATTTCCATAGAGCTCATTTTGCTCCTATTACTCCTACTCCTCAACAACACTATCCTTCTACGCCCGAACCTGATTATTTTCAATCGATCAAAGATGGTGACGAAAGACCCATTAGGAAACCAAGAAAATGAAGAATCAATCTTCCACCCACACCTGGGTTTGCCCATTAAACAGAATATCTTTTTTCTTAGTTCACTTAGTTTTT